ATGACCTATTTAGGGATGAGTGGGAAGTTCATTATTAGTAATCAATATTCAAATTATTAAAATATTTTATAGAGAGGTTTCGAATAATACTGAATTGCAACAACAAAAAATTTTATTTTTAATTAATTGAATTTTTAGCTGACCATACAACTATTTCGAGTATAGCTTAATACCCATCATCAGTGATCTTGGAATTAGTTTTAATATTTTATCATTCGTAAATAATTCTTTAAGACTACAAGGGTTGAATTCATGCCCTTCCAACTTTTAAGCTCATAGCCAGTGTTAGCCAACTGACCCAAAATCATACTTGACTTGTATGTTCAAGCTTAGGTAGTCACTGCCGTCATTACTGACGTTAAAATCAAATTTGATATAAAATATGTTATTAAATATAATTATTTAGTTAATATATAGTATTGGTATTTAGTTTAATATTATTGTTGTGATAGTAAAATAAAGAAAGCATTCCTGTCGCAGTTGTGAGGAGGACTTGCCTCCCATCTGCTTTGTTTCTGTCTAAACATGCGCGGCGCCGCCTTACCACTTAAGTTAGGGGCTTACTTATTTGAGAATCTTGGCGAAATGTAAGACCTTCTTTTGAATAGCATTATAAGCTGTGTCAAAGGTTCTAAGTGGTTCTAACTCCTGACTTTTTACTTATACGGTAACACAATGGGCCTGTAGGTCTAAGTGGATCCATAGAGATCGTCGATATAACCTAATCTAATCTAAACTAAAATAAGAAATGTGCAATATTTTCCTCTATAATTCTACTTTTTCTCTGTTCTTTTAATAAACTTTACTAAAAACTGATGTAAGAAATTTTTATTAATTGATGATGAATTAAAATATCAAAGATTTTTATAAGTTTTTTGACTTCTTTCAAATCGTAAACAAATTTCTGTTTGTGCTCTCATTTTCAGATAAAATAATGAATTAGATTTCTTCATAAAATCTTTACACCCACTTGTAAACAATTTCATTGCCTCAAATCTCATAATCTACTTATGGTTGATTCAGATAAACAATCATATTTATTTAAGAAAATTAAAATTGGAAAACTGCATAATAAAAAAATAAAAACAAAATAATTTTTTTAAAGCATTATTATGTACTTTATTTGTGACTAATGTTATTTTTCTTAATAAATCCGTTGCTAGTCTTGAAATGTTTTTTAAAATTTATTGATTCATCAAAACTGTGAAAAAGTAAGTACTATCTTAACTTATAAAACATTGTATTCATATGTACTTCCTTATTAAAATTAATTGTGTTATAAGTGTGTAATTGAAATGGACTCATCATTCATCTTAATTTTGGGGGGGAATGTTGTGTGTATTACAACCAGCCAAACCATATGCAAATATTTGACTAATTTCTAATTGAAGATGTTGTGGATTGAGTTGAAGAATGGCACGTCCATATATTTGAGCATAAAACTATATATTCCGGGACAGAGCTACTACATGACCTACCAAGAGTTTGATAGATGGGGTTTATTATACATATCTTGAAAAATAAAAATGTTACTATTTAACATACTTCTAGCTTGTTTCTAAAAACTAAGTCTGCAGTTTTCGCTTTTAAGTATGTGGACTAAGATACATCACCCTAGACATGGATCTAGAATGATGTAGCCTAAAAGGATGATGTAGCATAAAGTGGTCTTAAAAGATTTATAAGGGAAATTCTACCTTAAACGCTCTTTGTACTACAATATATGTATAATGGGATTAGAAATTACTTAAGCAGAGTTATCTTTTCAACAAATTCGAATCAATAAATGACTTTTAGTTGATTCGTATATCTTCTGTATATATATGGTGAAACGTTGGGACAGCGCACTATCCAACAAGTGGATCCGATTCTTCGATGTCGTTATTGTGTTAAAGCTAGTGTGGCTTCCGTTCCCATAACTACATCTTTTGTTAATGCAATCAGCTCATTTAGCTTGAGGTTTTCTGCCAAGTCAACAGCAACCCAATGGTGTCCTAAAACAGTCTTCCTCCTACTCGCCAGTGCTGGACATTGGCACAATTTATGTACTGCTGCCTCATTTTCTTCTAGACATAGTCCGCAAGTGTCTTTCTCAGCAAGAGTTATCTTTTTGAGATGATACTTGAAGTTGCCATGTCCAGTAATTAGTGAGGTCAGCCAGCTTAGAGTGCTCCGCGAATAGCTAAGCACTTTTATCGCTTCCCTGGCCCACGGTTTCGGCAACATGAGTTTGGTCTGTCTACAAATGCTCAACTCTCTCCATCTATTAAGATGAAGTGAGGTATAGACATAGGCTGCTTTCATGTTGTAACTTAATGGTTCATCTGCTTTCTCGTTTTGCTCAATATTGATATGTCTTTTAACCCACATGACAGTCACCTCATTTGAATAAGCACAATCCATGAGCTTCGTTACACATTCTTAAACTAAGCTGGTAGCTATGTATATCTTCTGTAAATCGGCTTCAACTTTTATTTATTAATTCTATATTTGGTGAAATACTACACACAGAAGGCATCACTGTTTTTTTGTCAGGTGAACTTATACTTTTATATTTGGTAAAATACTCCTCACAGAATGCGTCAGTCTTTTATCAGGTAAACATATTCTTCTATGCTGGGGGGTTAAATAAAATAAACGATATAAGTCATGGGCTTAAGTTCTTCCTTGACTTATGCAGGAGAAATAAGATTTTTAAAATTTTATCTCAAATTTTTAAGAATTTTTTTAGCAAATTATAAACACAGACAACATAATATCAAATCAACAAAAAATTAAAATAAACCCAAAAAATGTGTTAAAAATATTTTTATTTGTTTTCTTTTGCATTTTTATATTGTATATATCGTATAAAAATAATTTTATATACAAAATGACTAATAAATTCATAAACTCGACAAAGTAACAAACATTTCTGTTCAACTTCAGTAGCTCATCAATAAATATACTATATGTTGAATCATATAAGCAAACATACGTACGCATAAATACAAATTCCATTTATAGATATTTATTCGTCCATACATACCTACATATATACATACATGCATACATACGCATGCATGAAGTTTTCTATATTTGCAAATAGAATTTATGAAATGTTTTTTGTTGTAATTGCTGCGTTTAATATGCGTGTCATACATCAAGTGTATCGCATACACGAGCTTAAACTCATCATTGGCTAACATAATAGATTTCAGTAAGTTCTTCTCTGCTCTCCTATAGATACATCTCACTCGTATTCCCTTTTCATAGCAATAACCAAAGTATCTAAAAAAAACCATACCATATACAAACTTGTGACAAACGTAATGAAATAATGAATTCCAAGTGCTTTTATGAGCTTCGTATCTATGAATTTCTGTAGACGTGTACCATAGTACTATAGTAGACGTGTTACGGATGAGAGCCGTATTTGTGCTGGCAAATACATATGTAGATTGTTTTACCACTTATGCTTGTTTATGTTCAGAAACACTCATACTCAAGCCAATGAACTTTTGATAATGAAATTATATCACAAACAGCAGACTTAATTTTGTGCCAACAACAACAACAACAAGCCAAGAAGAAATATTAGAAGAAAAAAAGTTCCAATAAACAAACGAACAAGCCAAACTAATTGAAATGTCAAAGAGAAGAATACCATTTTCTATTGCTAAATGATTGCATTCAATCATAGATACTTTTTGCAATATTATTGTTTGTTTTGTTTGCTGATAATTGTTTTAGGTCTAATAACATCACTTATGGGTTGGTTAAGTGAAAGTATAGGAAAATAGGACAAATTACAGGAAGGGGAGAAAAATATATAGTCAACAAAGGCAACATATGGATTTTATATTTATTAAGTAAACTTTTAAGGAATGCAGATGAAAATCTCAATGGAACAAGTTGAATAGTTTAACGAGCGAAGCTAGGAATGTGGGTATAGGAGAAACCAAAATAAAGAGTTTAAAATAATGTTTATAAAATTTTATAAAATTCAAGCTCGGTTTCCTCGGAAAGATTAGCATGTCTTTACAATTATTTATACAATATATTTGTATGTTATGTTATGTTAAGCCTTTTCCGAGTTTGTGCATCTGGGCACTTTTATCCTATGATAGTTGGGGGAATTCTGCAGAGTCCCGCCCATCTCACTGACTTATTTGAGTATTCCTAATAATCATCGTGATTATTCAATGATATATCTAAGATCTGCGTACCGCCCCGTGCGGTTAGTGATTACTCTGAGATTAAATAGTGCTAAGTAGGGCAGCCTGTCGGTTTTCGCATATAGCTTCAGAGCTCTGGCCCTTATGTATTTTTTGAGAGGATCTATTCTATATATATATATATATATATATACTTATGTATTCTAATTTGCTGAAATCCTTGACGAAATCGCGGCGTTCGTGATAACGGATTTGTGCCCATTCTACGGAATCCATTTCAAAGTTCACTAAATACATTTTTGTTCAATTGAAATTTATGTTAAACAAATTAAAATCGAATACTTGTTCGTTCTTATTCCAAACAGGACACTTGGGCCAAATTTACACAGTTCGTAAAACTAAAATGCAAAAAAATTACAAAAAAAAAATTACAATATTTAAGAAAACAAAAAAAAAAGTATATATAAATGAAAAAAATTTAATAGCAAAATAATGTTTTGGCAAAGTACCAAGTTTCAGTTACAAAATGGCTGCTCTCTACTGCAGCTGCAGCTGCCGTAAAGGACTTAACCAAGTGCCAGCCTACCGTAGATTCAATGAAGTCTTAAATATCCTGCAGCTACGTGAAGTAGTTTAAGTGAAAAATGTTGCATTAGTACAGATGCGCTTTTCGATATTGATAAAATTCAATTCTATTATTTTTATTTTTTTTTTTGTTATATATGGTATATATATATATATTACATTTCTTTCTCATTTTTGGCAGCAATATTCACAATTAAAATTTGTACTTGCATTCCTGTGCATTACTGATAAATATTTTTCTTCTTTATTTATTTTCAGATACAGTGGATAATTACAAACTCAACAACGTCACCTTCAAGACTGCGTTAAAGTATTCTTCTTTTTAAGTCAAAAGCGTCTTAAGCTTCAACGTTTTTTGTTCGTTTTTGTTTTACTAGTCATATTTAAGCTCGTATGAATACACAAACAAATATGGGTCCTAATAGTGTAACACCGCAGAGGGGTGATCAACTATCAAAGACAAATTTGTATATACGTGGTCTGCAGGAGAATACAACTGATAAGGATTTAATAAATATGTGTGCCCCGTAAGTATTATCAGAAAACAATCAATTATTATTAGCATTTTAAAATATATCTAAGGAGTAATTTTAGTATTTTATCTGGTTCGATATAATCCCAATACAAGCACATCTCATGTCTTCAGACATTTCCATAGCTTCTACACAAGTTTCTACTATGGCTACCCAATCTGTAGTCATATGCAAATCTGTCAAACAATAATCTAAGGACGTAAGCAGATAGGCATTAAACCTTATTAAATGTACAAGACTGCTTGTTCTTTTGTGGAAAACAGAAAAGAGATTTGACTTAGTATGGCTAGGATAGGTTATATATGTTTGCCTTTCATTTTCTGCCTTCACAATTGGTTTTTTGCTAGAGTAGGTATTTAAAGCTAGATATGCGCGCTTCCATTTATGATATGACAGCGAATTATATTAAAATCTAGTAATGTTTATTAGTTTAATTCGTTGGTTGATGGAAATAGTGACTTGATCAATGGGTCCAATTAGCGCCTTTACGGTTTTGATACAGCATTCTAAATGCCAACTTTTCTATTAGTTATTTTCTTAAAGTCTTGCACGGGCAGGATCCGCCACTCTAATCTGTGGCCCAGAACCTTTTTGTGGATTAAGTTGGTCTACAACTAGGTCTCTAATCAATAACTGGATCTCAACCGAGAGAAGTCGCTACTGGCGCGACGGTCGAGGTAACCGTCAGGCTAAAGAGCTGGTTCTCCCCTATAGTTATAATAAGATATCCTCCTTTAGCAGAACAGAGTTGAGGTTACTAGTGGGATATCTAACGGGTCACCATGGGCTACGTTACCACCTCAACAAAATGGGCCTATCCTAAGAGATAGATTGTAGACTCTGCTTGGAGGCAGAGGAGACAACCAGCCACATTCTATGTGACTGCCCAGCTTTGATCTGGGCCAGGAGGAGATCACTGGGTCGGGAACTGCTAGCACCTTCCGACATTAGGAGGTCCTCAACAAGCGACATTCTGGCCTTCATTCGAAAGGCGGAATGTCTTTTGTTCAGTTAGGGTCTGTTGTAGCACAAAAGATCAATCATGGTCGCGTTGCTCTGCTCAAATGGGAGCTAATACCCTGTTCTTTCTTATCTTATTAGTTATTTTTGTAAATAGATGACTAAATATTCCTCATTTTCTTGAGACTACATCCAAGTTATAATATTATCTTCGTCTTATACGTTCCAATAACGATCAGAAAATGCAAGTATTTAATTTAAAGAGCACTATTAGTCACATATAGTGGCGTACAAACTATGGTTCTGCAAGAGCTTTTAACATTGCAGATCTTTTTCTTGTTAATAAATTAGCTCATATATCATATCATATAGATCGATGAATCCAAAATGAAGAATAACCGTTATAACATCTCCTTTAATTGTTAATGGAAAGACTTATTAATAGAAAAGCCTATATAAACTTCTTAATCTAATAATTCATTTCGTAAACAATTATTAGAGATTCATGAATCCACAAAAATGGCTCCAACTAATGTGCCTTATATCTTATGCCTTAAGAAGAATAAACAACATTTGATTTCATTCATTTTTTGACAGACGTTAAGCTAGATCAATAATAAATCGATTTATATATTTTACATAAGTGATCGTAATAAGAATAGCCAATATTTTTTTAATTGACTTAAACAGTATTAATAACTTTTAATTCCATTTGAGGTGTGATCTTCTCATTGCTTGGAAAAATTATTGATATACCACACTCGATTCAAATTCAAAGAAATTTGTTTGATGATAACTTATTAATTTATTATATTATATTTATTAATTACGGTTGAGGTTTTTTTTTCTCTCATAGAATTAATAATATCTTCTAATATTATATTTTTATAATTAATAAAAAATTTTATTTTTAGGTATGGCAACATTGTTTCGACCAAAGCTATTTTAGACCAAAAAACGAAAAAGTGTCGGGGTAAGTTTCATAAACTATAATTTTCATTTTTATTGAATATATCTTATTGTATTTTACTGCATTAGGTACAACTTACAAACATAATACATATTTATATTTATTATTGAGTACGTATATATATGTGTGTACATAGTGTTTCATACCAAAGTGACTTAATGTGTGAAGGTGATTTTTTAGCCCACGAAACGAAAAAAAATTATGGAAAGGGAGAGTCTAGTTCCTTTCATTTTTAATCCATACTAAGATACATAGTGTAAAAGAACATTTTAACCAAAAAACCTTTATTAACAAAAATTTTTCTTTAAATTTATACATTAACGTTGAATCTACTGAATATCCTTCACCGTGATCGCTAAAAGCCATGATGATTTAAAACTTCAATAGTTTAATATAAACTATTGATACGTTATCACCTTTCGTATTAAATAAACTTAGACGCTACGGTGATTTTAAATAAATTTTTGCTGACAAATTTTGCTTGTTTTGCATTTATTGTGTCGTATTATGTTTCGAACAATTCTCTAAAAAATATTCCATTTATCGTGTCCTTATTTCTGTAACTGACCTAAAATCCTAAATTCTGATGTTTTCGACAAAAACGAATTAATTAACATATTATTAACTAACATCATCACTTCTTAAAAAGTTTTCCTTAAATCAAAATAAGGGCGACTTCACTACTAAAAGTTGGTGTATCTACATATTCAGGTGAATCAGATAAAGATATTTAGGGTTTATTTGATTGAATTGATTCAATGCTTTTACACACACTTTGTTGTAATTCATATTGACAATGAATATATCTATTAAATCAGTGGTTCCTAACCAGTTGTCTGCAAGATGACTAAAAATGGTCCGTGAATCAAATTTAACAAGTATGGACATATAGCTTGTAGTTTGTCCACTGAGACCTGACTTTATAGGAAAATAAGGACAAAATATTTTGAAGTAATTATATACCTATAAATGGTTTTCAGCCGAGAGAAGTCGCTACTGGCGCAACATTCCAGTTAACAGTCAGGCTAAAGAGCTGGTTCTTCCCTACAGTTATGATAAGCAGTACAGAGTTGAGGTTGCTGCTGGTGGGATATTTAACGTATCACCATGGACTGCGTTGTCACTTTAACAAAATGGGTCTATCCGAAGAGATAGATTGTAGACTCTGCTTAGAAGCAGACGAAATTTCCAATCACATTCTCTGTGACTGTTCAGCCTTGATCTGGTGCAGAAGAAAGTCACTGGATCGAAAACTACTCTCCCCTTCTGACATTAGGAGATCCTCAATTGCTGACATTCTGGCTTTCATTCGGAAGGCGGAATGTCTTCTGTTCGGTTAGAGTCTGTTGCAGCACAAAAGAGCAACCATACTTGCAGTGCTCCGCTCCATTGGGAGGTGGTACTCTGTTTATTTTTATTCCTATATACCTATTTTATGGTGTTTACTAAGAACAAAAATATTATTTATGTTATATATATGATATATATGATATAATATAATATCATTGGTCAAAAAAAGTTTGGAAACGACTGTATTAAATGTTTTTTTTTTGGTTTTTGATCCAAGAAATCATCTCATTAATTGATGTCACTTTGGATAATGTATACAATCTATATCCATTACGTAACCATTAAATATATAGATTTGTATATATCTTGTGTATATATAATTTTTATATATTATATTTTATGAAAATAAAATAATCTAAGGGCGAAGGACCTAGTTAATAGTCCAGTTCCTTATTCTTAGTTAACTTTAAAATTAATTTTAGTATTAACTCCCATTATAAATGTATAATTAAAACTAAATTAAATATTTTCAGGGTATGGATTTGTCGATTTCGAGCTACCACAATATGCAGAAGGTGCTGTCAAGGGACTACAGGCCAAGGGCGTACAAGCTCAGATGGCTAAAGTGGGTATCTTGCTTCATAGGCCGGAAACTGTACGTTTGTTTGCATGCAAGTAATATTAACACTAACCTCACCCATACAACCATACATCCCAGTTATGTCCTCTAGATACGAGTACATCCTTTATAAATATAAAAAAAAAATTTTAAATAATTTTTTTTTTAAATAATTTTTTTTTTAAATTATTTTCTTTTTAATTATTAATCCTTCTCGGATATCTTAAGCAGTTTAAAAAGTCTGTGGATTGTTTGCATTTTTCGCTTCACCTTTTGTGCTCTGGCAACGAGTTCAACGAAGTTCAATCAAAAGTTTTACTTTTACAATACACACTTTGGAGTAAAAGTTTTAGATTTTTTTACTTTTATCTTTTTATTATAAAATCTTTTACTTTTTATGTTTAACTTGCACTTTTTTAATGCTAAAAAGTGTGAAAGTTGCAACAAAATTGTTTTTATTTCACAATTATTCCCAGTTTGCTCGTTCTGAAGTTGTGAAGTATGCAAACACTGATGAAAAGTTAAATTTCTATATCAGTTTTTGTTGAATATTTTTTGAATTTGTATTTTCATTTAAGTTTAATACATTTTTTTCAAATGCTAATTAAAGTAAAAAGTAAACTATTTATTTATGAACATTATAAAGATTTCAAAACCGCTACTAAAGAACCACCAGTTTTGCTCAAAGGTAAAAAATGCTTCATTAAGTTCAACTATAAATACAACAAAGTTTTTGTTTTTAGTGTAAAGTTTTTTACTTATAACATTAAAGTCCCTTTAGCATCCCTTTATCCTGTATCATATTTCCCCATATAACACTCCCCATAAAACCATTTAAATGCTTTTAGTAGATTTTAATTAGTGTAATTAGTCAAAACATTTGAGTTCTTTATGCTTTTTGGTGTAGTTGAAATTCTACCATTGGTATGACACACCCATCGAAAACTACTACTTAGTAATTTATAATTCGATAGATAAATATTCTTATAAATTTCATTTTCAATTAGAATTTAGACTTTTATAATTTGTACTATACAGCTTTTTTTAAGGAAACTTATTTATAGCACAATTTGTGTTTTCCAGTAGTCAGACATAGAACGTTTCTACTGTAAATAAAAACACAATGTTTGTTTACAATATCACAATATTACAATATTACACTCATAACCACAGATACAAAGTAGAAATTTATTTTTCTTAACCAATTTTAAGTAATTAATTGCGCAATATAAGAGTATCTACAATTTATAGCTACGTTCATATATAAATTTTTAGTGCTAAAATTTTTTAATTTCAATAGAAAAGGTGAAAATAAAGCACTTTACAGTATTAAATATTAAATAATAGTTATTGACAAAACTGTATACAATTATATTGAAACAAAAAAAAAATATCTACATGCAGTGTACAAAGTTTCCGGAATTTTTAGTGTAGAAAATATCGTAAATTTTTTGTAAATTATACAAAAATTTTAAGCAACAACACAACGAACATGGCCAGAAAATGAACTGTGTTCACCTGATATAACATAACGAGACTTATGTTATGTTTCCAAATCTAAAATTACCACTTTTAAACAGACTTTCCAAACAAAAAAAACTCACACAATTTGTGGTCATACCTAACGAGGATAGAGTTAAAAGGTGATATAGTTCTATTGCAGTCTATTTCGATAACATTTAAAGAATAAACTTACTACATATCAACACAGTCTTGGTAAAAAAATATCTTACAATAGAACAGACTTTATCACAAATTTAACAAGAAATTGTATCAATTTTCTGATATCCGTACTTACAAGTTGTTGTATTTGAAGAGTTTAGACGACCACAGTAGAGACTTCTATAGAAGTTATTCGAATGACGGAAGAAACGAGAAAGTACTCGTTATATACTAATACGACTGTTTATAAACCGCAGATTAATTTAATGGGAGAGATTTTTATTTTGAGGAATTTCCGGATCCGGGTGCAGTCCACCTAATAAGACTAATAGAAATCAAAAAAATCATCATACATCAGAAGCTACAAAGACGAGGTAAATCCGCAAATATTACGACAACGGACTTTGAGCTTTTGTGAGTCCCAACACCTATAACGACAGAACTATCACAATAATTAACTAATTATTATTATTAAGTGTTAATTTATTAAGGTTGATTTTTTTGTCAAATGTGACGCATGTTATGACAAAAAGAAACTAGAAAGGTTCGAACAGTTATAAAGAAACAACAACAAAAATTTGATTAATTTATTGAGAGATTATTTGTTTACATGGTTTTACATAATTCCGGTTACTTAGTACACTGAATGAATATTTTTTTTAAAAAATTATTTTAAACAAGTATAGACTTCATAGTTTCATTTTAAATTAACAGATCTTAGTTTTTAGTAAAAATTATTTTGTAGGTTTAGAGATATATTATATATTATTTATTATCTGTAAATAAATGCTAAATTTCTATATGTATTCAAATTAATATATTAATATATACGATATATTATATATATACTTCAAACTAAACTAAAGTTAATTAGTTTTTAACACTTATAATTAATACATATTATATATATCTATAAGCTGTATTATTATACTAAACTTCATTTTACAACATGAGCTCGATGCTAAAATCATGCCTGCGTAACACTATATGTATGGAAAAACTAACTGAAAAGCTAACCAGTTCTTGTTGTTGTTGTTGTTGTTGTTGTTGTTGTTGTTATCCCACCATGATAACTGGGATTTGAATCCCTATTGTAAGGAAAAGTGAACAGCATTTAATCATGTTAAAAAATGTGTAGTTGCGACAGGTTCTAAATTATCGATCTCTTTTTCGTTTGCTTTGATGCAGAAAAAGAAATAAATGGTCATCCCACAATTTTTTTAATTTAAAAAAAAGTTTTATTTTGATCTGGTTTTTCATCAATTAAAATTTCGAACTCTTAGGTACTCTTAGATTCTGTATGTGAGGCAAATGTATTATTTAATTGCGTTTCTCCAGAGGTATTGTTTGTAGATATATCTCCTTTTTGTGAATTAGTGTTCTACGTAATAAGAATAGTTATTCAAATCACTTGAAAAAATTTGTTTTCTTGTAGAATTTTATGAATCTTCCAAGATCATTTATTAATCATTCTCAAAGATCCTCAAGAAAAACTCAGAACCTATAACCAGGCTCTTTGCTAAGGTTAGGCAAATGTAGAATAAGTGAGTTTTTAATAATACTTATGACACTTATAGGTAGAACCCGATCGTTAGTTAATTATAATTTACAATAAGCGTATTCCAACTGTTAGAATAATGTATCTATTTAAAACTAAAATAATAAGATATTCAATATTTAACTATTAATGCTAATAATTACTTAATTTTTGGTATAGCTTAATTCCAACAACAGCAACTTCATAATTTGACTTTATCGACTAATAAGAATATTTCGAATAATATATCACTAATGTGTCAACTAATTCTTGAGCAGCTTACACTAAATCTACTAAAAACATTACAATTCAATTATTTATTTTAAATATATACTAATTTTAAATTATTTTCTTTTTTACATCTAATCATCGCACCAATACGAATACTTACGAAATAATAAATAAAACTGATTATAACAAATAAATAACTCAAAATAATATAAAAAAAATTTGCAATTTTAAAATTAATAATTTAAAAATAATAAATTAATTAATAATTATAAAAATAATAATTAAAAATAAATATTTTTAAAAAATAACCTAAAAAAATTTAACAAAATAAAAATATAAAAACATAATAAAATAAAAATAATGCAATTAAACATACATTAAAAATGCAAATTAATAATAATTAACAATACATATAACAATAAATATTAAAATATAAAAATAAATATAATAAAAAATACAATTTAAAATAAAAAATAATTCATATAAATTAATAAATAAATATAAATAATAATAACAATATGCTCTAAATAATTATAACCATAAACAATTGAAAATAATCTCAAATAATTAAAAATATTTTTTTATAAATATTATAATACATATAACAAAATTGATATCAACAAATAAAGCAGCTGCAGGAACAGGATCCTACTAATCTATACTTAGCAAATTTACCACCACGGTACAATGAAGCTGATCTTGAGAGTTTGCTCATGACATATGGTCAAGTAATTTCTACACGTGTATTACGTGATTCACTTAGAAACTCAAGGGGTATGAACAATTTAAAAAGAAGCATTATTTTTTCTGATCGCATATATAAAATGGAATACTTTAAACTCTTTTCCAGGTGTTGGATTTGCTCGTTTACAAACACGTGAGGAGTGCGAACGTATAATAGAAGCATTTAAGGGGTGCACTTTGCCTGGCGCAAATGATGCCCTTCTCATTAAATATGCCGATGGTGGGCCCAAGAAGAAGCAGCCATTTAAGCCAATGGATATTAATGATCGTGCTTGGCGCATTAGCTCCGCTGAAGGTATACCTGTTACCTATGATCCGGCAATGCAACAAAATGGTGTTGGAGTTAATGTTGGCACTCCAATTGGTGTCTCATATTCACGTTTCGGTGCATCACAAGTTGGTGGTTATTCAATGGCAGGTTCTCCATGGATACAAGGTTATATGATGCCACAAGCTATCACACCAGACGAGCAGGTATTAATTGTTTATAGATTTTAAAAATATTTTCTATTAACCTTTGGGTAATTAATGGGTGAAGGATAATATTTCTTCTAGATAAGGGAAGGGTAGGAAAGGAGGGTATATTCCATGAGTTTTTAAATTTCTCTTTCATTAAGAGAAGCAATTTTATTTTTTTTTTAAATTTTTTTACTGGTTTGGACATTAATATGACTTAATTTTGTCTGCTTTAGCAGTTAAAATAAATATATTTTTAATTTATATATCTGGGGCGTCTTGATTTGACAACTGTTTTAAATAAAGTAAGCTATATGCTAATATAGCTTAGTTCTCCTGCTATTAAACTTCAATATTGAATGTTTTTACTTTAAAATTTCCAACAAACAAAACTTTATTTCAAGGCGCCATGATTTTACAACGGATTTAAGTAAAGTGCACATTCTTAGCTACTTTTTTCATTATGATATATGCCAATATAGTTAATCAGATGGCGCGTCTACTTCTTTCTACCAGTTTAACATGGTGTCAATGTTAAAATTGCTATTACTAATTCTCATTAGATGGTGTAGATATATAATTTTTTTTAGTGTAATCAATATAAAACGTGCACAACTTCTGACGTGCCGGAACATCTCTAGAACTAAGCAGTATCGGTACATTGTGTAGTGGAAAAAATAAAGTTGATTTTGACTTAAATCCTTTATCAAATCGGAGCACCCTAGAAATAGAAGTCTTGCCAAATCTCTTTATCTTTTTTGGCTATATGTATTTAAAAAATTTTATTGATTTTAATAAAATAATTAAATAAAATAGTTATTTATATAATTTCAATATAATTGTATGTATGTAGCGATTTCTATTTTATTTTTATATTTTATATTTATTTTTGTTTTTGTAATTTCAGAATTGCTGAAAATGTTTCCAATATAGTACCTTATAAATTAACTGAAACCATTTATTTTCCTCTTATTTCAGTATATACAGATGGCCGCTGCCTCTCAGTTGGGAGTAGCTTCCTATAAACCAGATGCCATTAATCAATTGCCACCACGTGGCATGATGATGGTTAGCGGCGATACTGCAATGCCATATGGCGCAATGATGCCACAAATCGCAACCTTGCAACCGGTTGGCAATCCAGTAAGTATAAATATTTTTGTTTTTTTTTTTTTGAAAAAACCAAAAAAAAAACGTTTTAAAAAGTAGTTAAATTTTGAACAACGGAGAGAAAATATTGCATGATAAAATACTGCTTGGATTTCGAAGTGTTTAAATAGCTACCGTTACAACACTACGTAATATTTAAAGAAGTTTAAATTTTGAGTATGTTCCCTAATAATATAATATATACATATATGTACATGCATTTATCTCCTTAAAAACCTGGCTAACAAATTTTTTTTTTTGACAAACTTCTTTTGTACCAAGTTTATACCTAGGATTAAAATAATTTTCTTATAGCGTATCTCTTCATCGTTACAGTATATTAATACGACTTATCCATATTATGTATCACCAACAATTATTCCGGCAATGCCAATGACAGATTCTGAACAGGCCAGCACAGCTGCGTCACCCGACGAGGCATATATACAGTATTCACACCCAGCCGTTGCTCCCTAATAGCTTTGTGCGAGGTGAGTGAGTGTGTATGTCGAAGAAAGAGAATACAATAAAAATAAATTAACAAAAAAAAGAAAAAGAATATAACAAATATTGGCATGGTGATAGGGAGTTGTGGAGAGAAGTGTGTGGGAAATTAGTTGTTGCATGCAATTTAGCGGAAGTTATTTTGATTGCCTTTATTATTATAAGTCCTCTGACACACAACAACAAAAATGGCAATAGCAATATTTATTTGTACATTCATTTTCCGAAGCCTTTAGCTTTATTTTAACTTTTCATTTATGGCATACGCTTATGTTACGCGTTTATCCTTAAGCTTGTAAATAACATCCCATTTATTAATCATCATTACCATACTCATCATCAAGTATACATCTAAACGCTTTGGCTACAGCTCCTTTTTGTGTTCCTTAAATGCTTGCCTGCCACTTTGTCTGCTGCTCCTTTTGCTGCTCGCCTGTTCGTTTGCTCTTCTTCATTTAATCTTAATCTCCTAAATCACTCACTTCACTTTAGTTCATTTGTACTTTTTTCTGTTCTTTTTGTTTTAAGTATGCTTAACCAGTAACTTTTTTACTACTTACTTAAAGCCTGCAATCAATAATTTAATTAGCCTTCTTAATTATAAATTTTTCTAATGACAACTCCTCTTCTGTCTTATCTTCTTTCAGTTGGGTACAAATTAAGGTAGAAATGCAGCGTTCCTTCCCTGATTGTGCACAATCTTTTGATGTTAGTCTAATAAAAAATGCTAGAATTGCTGTCACTGAAAGAGAAATTTAAACAATGTAATTTAGTAAGTATCCAATGAGAGATAGAGAGAGAGAGAGAGAGAGAGAAAAGAGAAATTTAAGACTGTGTAATATATCTCCGATAATTAGTATTGTAATTAGTAGGTGAAAGGTTAGAAGACTAGTAGAACGGTTTCAAGTATTATATTCTTTGGTTATTACATTACGCGAGTTAAAATATAAATATATACAATACATGTATATACAGTAATCCCCCCTATAACGCGGTACCCTTATAACGTGTTTTCATATTACGCAATTTCAATCTCTCATATAACACGGGTATTCCCCCATATAATGCGGGGATTGGTATAGTTCATAATTAGCTACGCGTACCTTTACACGTGTGTATACGGGAATACCTCTATAACGCATTTTCCTATAACGCGGAACGAATCTACCGCGTTATAGAGAGGATTACTGTATATAAAAATATATATTATATTAGAACATATACAAAAAATACTAAGAAAAGCATATAAACTTTTATTAATGTAAAAAAAAATTTTTTTTCTTTATTTTCAGTATTATTAAAAACTCTTTTAAACATTAAAAGAAACCTATTACTTTTCATTGGGCTAAGCTTCTTTTTCTTCAGAGGGACGAAAATATAAAAAATTTCAACAAAACAGCAGTAATTTCAACCGGCAAACTAGAAATGGAGTTTCTGGAACAAAAATTTTAATGCAGTTTGCATTAAACACAAATTAATAATTAAAATTAATATGTAAACTTGTATGTGCATATATAATTTTAAAAAATAAACTAGAACTCTAATCATCACTCCCCAACTAGCATCTATACAAAAACAAAAAAAAAATATAAAGCAAAAATTGTGCATCACTACTAGGGAAGAGACTAAACTGGGGACCGACCACATAAGCATAAAGCAAAGAGCTCTTAATGTGTACATCCCCTAAAACAAAGTAACTTTTACATTTTTTAAAATGTTGCCAAGTGTAAAGCATTCAAACTGCAACAAATTTTGATTAATTTTTGGAACGCTGAAGATTAACTTCCAAAACCAAATACAGTTTTTTTTAAATAAAATTTAAGTCATATATAGTTTTAAGCTTCAAAATAAAACAAAAGATTTTATTTTTCTACATTAAAGCTAAGATGCATGCAAACAAGAAATAAATTTGAAAAAGAAAAATATTAAAAAAAAATTTGAATTAAAATAGATACAACTTTAGATTTAAAAGAATTTTTTTGTAAATACTTTGTATATATATTTTTCTTCTTCTTTAGTTGTGCTTAGTAAATTAGTTTAAGTTTAGCTTTAAGTAAAGCAAAAAAAAAAATAAATAAATAAAAATAAAAATTCTTTTTTTAAGTCAAACCAATAAATTGCATTTTTCTTTAACTTTTAGATATGGGCTATAGCATCATTTTAGAATCTAAACATTCTAGAAAAATAGGCTATATATTAAAATATATAAGATAATATTATTACAATTATACAACACAGGATTATTATTAACTGACATAAACACGGAATGGATGAAAATACACAACAAAGTCTCTCAGTCGTGTGTGGAGATGACACGGGCTGTTCCACTGATCGATTAAAATATATATAAAGCTCAGCTCTTCATAAATGACAATAAAATTACATGCTAAAATAAAAAAAATGGGTTGTACGGCTTAGTTTTGAAAGTGTATGAAAAAAAATATTAAATATCAATTTTTTTTGTACGTTCCTTAATACTCATTTACTCTTCTCACACAAATTTATACAGGGTTGCCAAATAAATATTTTTATATGATTTTACACATTAGACGTTTTTAATACAAAAATATTTATGGACAACTTTATATTACGAAAAAAAAAATATAAACAAGTAATTTAAATCTTTATAAAGAGGTTTTTCGAAAAGTAATGAGCTACAACAACAAAAATTCATTTTTATATTGTTTTAATTAATTGAACCTTTATTAAATCTTTATTTATTATTAAATACAACTTTAATAGGAATATTAAATATATAAATAATACAATTAGCATAAATTATGTTAACATTGAAATAAACCATATAATATTAAGAAATACTTGTTTTATATGTATTAAACAGCCGTTGCCCCATGTGATTGATTTGAAATAAGAGATTAAATTTGCTTTTTATAACAATATTCGCAAAGTTTCCTGTATTTAGTGGATTTAAATTGTACTCATGCTTTGATGCTATTTAAAAGGTTTTTTCTTTTCTTTTTTGATATTTTCTACTTTACATTTACAGGGTCCAAAACGAAACAGTGAATATCAAAAACAAGGAATATTTATAACCAAAATATATATTTTATTTTTCATGAAATATATGAAATATTTAAATTAAATGTTAAATTAATTGTCAACGTATTTGTTTTGT